AAGTACAACTTATCTGCTGTTTTTTTAAAACACTTTATTTATTTAGAGAGAGGGGAAGGGAGGAAGAAAGAGAGGGAGAGAAACATCTATGTGAGAGAGAAAAATCGATTGGTTGCCTCTCGTATGTCCACCAACCAAGGACTGAACCTGTAACCCAGGCATGTGTCCCGACCAGGGATCGAACCAGTGACTTTTCGCTTTGCAGGATGATGTCTAACCCACTGAGCCACACTGGTCAGGGCCAACTTATCTACTGCTGATGCATAAATTTTTATCTTCAGCCTTTATCCTATGAAGTAGGGACTATAACCATGCTCCCTTCACATGAAAGGAGACATAGGCTCGCAGACATTAAGGGGATTCCCCAATGTTACATAATTGGAAGCCAGAGAGCCAGGACTTGAATCCAGGTCTGTCTGACTCCAGGCCTGTGCTATGAGTGCTCAGGCTGCCCTTCTGCCTTCCTCCTCCATCCCAGCTCCTTGCCCTGCTTGCTCCCTGGGCTCTCCTGCATGTGCTGCTTAGTGTGGCCTCATGCCTTTGTCCCCTTTGTCCACTTCTCCCAAAATGATCCCCCCCACCCCCAACTCCACCTCTCCCGTCTTCTTCCTTCCCAGCTCTGGTGGGGGATTTCTCTATGCCTGAGGCCCAGGTTGATCTCTCCTGGTCTCCTCTGAACTCCCATAGGACCCAGAGTCTACCCTAAAGCAATGGAGGGCTGCATCTAGAAGTTTTTTTGCTTTCTAAACCCAAGATGGGTGTCCTTGGTCCAAGAAAAGTGCATACTTGGAGATACTGAAGCACAATATCTGAGCCTGGGACTGCCTGGGAAAATGGGTACCATGGGCCTTTGTTATTACATACCATCTCGAGGGGTCTGAGTTATCCAGGGTCACTTTTGTCTCCTCCACTGGCTGGTGAGCTCTTGGAGAGAGATCATGATTTTTATTAAGTGTGTGTGTGTGTGTGTGTGTGTGTGTGTGTGTGTGTGTGTGTGGTTAGGGGAGTATGTATTTTTGATCCATGGTTGGGAATCTGCATATGCAAAGGCCTGACTTCAGTTATATGTGAATTCTTGACTGTTGGCGGTCAGTGTTGCTAACCCTTGCATTATTCAAGGGTCAACTGTACTTCAAAACTCTTTTCTCCTGTGTCCTGGGAAGCCAAGAGAGGTTCAGTCTAAAAGTGAAGGAACTGATTTAGACTTCACCAAGGTTATAGAGAGGCCAAACGGTTCCCATAGGGGCTACCGAGTTCAGAAGACCATTTTGAAGCAGTGTGGGTTGTGCTGTGATCATTATCATTTTGGAAGAACTGAAAGTGCCCCAAGAGAAAAGACGAGGAAGACACTGGAGACCTTCAAGGCCGTGGTGGCGGCAGCCGGAGAACCGTGTGTGTGGGGACTCCTGTATACTGATGGAGAACTTAGGAGTAGGTACGGGCCTGCTCCTCAGCATTCTGAGCTGGTCAGGGAGAATACCTCCAGTCTTGTCCTACTGGGGCCCTCCTGCCTCAAGAATGAGAGAACCACATTAACCTGATCACTGTGTAGGCAGGCCTCCTGATACAAGGTCTTTTTCACAGAAAGCAGAGTGGGCAAGGGCTGAAGAGAACAGGCTGCAGATGGTTGAATCATGCATGTTTTGAAGGCAACGGACCTCCATTCTATCTCTAGTAAAACCCACAGTTCAAGTCCCCCACCCCCAATTTGAAATGCACGTTAGAGACCATGCCTCTTCAGGAGACGTAAATTTTGCCCTGTGTGGATCAGACGGAGCCAGGGCTGGCCCTTCTCTGCCAGGTGAGGCTGCCTCTTTCCTCAGTGCTAGGTCTGGGTCCTGCTTCTGGAGACACCTCTCATCCAGCAGCTGCCACCCAGGGCAAGAGCTGGGAAGGTATCATACCTTGCTGGATCTTACTTGCCTAGAGGGGAACATATCTAGAGTCAGGAGGAGCCCCCAGTGGCTGAATGGTTGTCACTTCTACACAGGGACCCTACCTCTGTCCCTGCCCACCTGGCCATGCTGGCACATGCCTACTCCTAAGCTACCTGCATTTTGAGAAGTACGAAAATCAGGAGCACCTAAGTCCGTCTTCACTGGATTACTCAAAGACAAAATATGAAGGAAGCAGGCAGAGGTTGTCTTGAGCTTGAGTGCTTCTAGGGATCAAGCTCCTGCAATCCACCAGGGACAATGATGTTGGTGCAGTCCCCCCGCCCCCCCTTGCGGGGCTTGGAGGCAAGGAGCCTGGAGCTGCCTCCACCCCCAGTGGCTGAAGGACACAATCATAGCCTTCAGGGGGTTAAGGCCAGCGGCCTTGCCCAAGGATGCTTCGTAGACCCATACCCGCTAAAGTTTCTGGGTTCCAGAATGGGGCCCCTCCGTGTCTGAGTCCTGAACTTGTCAATGCTCAGAGGCAACTCTGCTGTTGAAGGTCTGGCTGAGATGTGTCACTCACAGATCAGCTTCCAAAAAAGAACAAACAGATGAGGTTTCCAGGAAGTCGGAGAAAGCAGGCAAAGGTGAGTGGGAGCCGGGCAGGGCCTAGGAAATCTAGTCTGAAGGCCCGGGCACCAAGCTGGGGAAGGGAAGAGATGAGGAGAGCAAGCAAAAGGACCAGAAGGAGGTATAAAGCTTAAAGTAATAAAGACAGGAACATTCTATTTGGCAATGAAAACAGAGCTTTAGCTTAAAATATACTGTCCCTCCCCACCCCCAGCTGGCAGAGGCAGTTGGGGAGAAGCAGGGCTGAGACTGGGCTCCCATTTCATGTCTTCTATTCATAGGATGTGACTTGTGGGAGCCACTCAGTTTGACTCTGTTCCTTTTGTGAATTGGGTGCTCACAGGACCCCTCAGCTTGAGGATCAAGAGAGCTAATAAGGTAAGTGGGAGACCACGCCGTGTGGACTGAACTGTTAGGCAAACAAAGTGCAGGATTCTGGAACGGCTGGTTGTGGGACTGACGAATGTGAGAGAGGCAGCTGCCAGGTCTGCCCCCAGACCCGCCCACCCCCCCTGCCGACCCCTTAATCACACCGCAGAGATAGCTGTCTGGTTATAAGCAGGTCATGATTTGGAGGGTAAAGTTTGAATTAGGGAACCCATCATGCTCACACCTAATCTGGGGCTTTCACTGTGCTCTCTCTGGCTGACGTTTCCTTTTTCTTTGCCCTTCCCATTCACATCCTACTCGGGAAGTCCCCATCTCAGCCCTGCCACCTCCAAACTGTAGTCCTCTCTGCCTGCTGAGCCCAGGCTGACCCCTCATCACAAAGTGCAGTCAACACACAGGCCAGTGCGGCTCAGATTGCTTCACATAATTTTCTGAAAGCAGGGACCATGACTTGCTCCCTGGGGTCCCCCTGGGTACAAAAAGGGCCCTGTGGCAGATAGAAATATGGGCAGTATAACATGGCCTTTCAGTCTCAGGCGTAACATCAGCCTTTCTTCCATCACCCGTCTTCTGTCCACGGGCCTTGGTTGTCTCCCAGAGATCAGCGCCAACATCCATTCTCTGCAAACTAGTAAACATTGCTTCACGCCAGGGTAACCCATGATCAGTCCACAGGAAACAAGCGCCACCAGCAGTAGTTAGGATCAGAATACTTTAATAAGATATCAGTGTCAAAATACATTTCCTTATAAAGTTAAGCTCCCATATAGTAATAATGTCAGTAGGAATTTGACAAAATAATAATGTACATGAAATCGTTACATTGACAGGTAAAGTTAATATTGAAGCTCGGAATATTTTTCAGAGTGTTTTAGTAAAACTGCAAGGGTAAAATACCCTTGATGCCAAGGCAATGCACACAGGAATCAATACCAGCATCTACGTGGCAGTAACCCTTCAAGCCCTGTCGCCGTGTGGGGGACAAGCTGTGCTGCTTAAGCATGATTTGGGCAACACACAGGGACTAGGTTATTTCTCTCATCTAATTCAGAGTCTTCTGAAATTTAAATTTCATTTTTGGCAGAGTCCATCCAGGCTTACCCAATTCTTGGTCTGTTGTGCTTTAGATGTGTGTTTCTAGAAACTTCTTCATTATACTGATGACAGATAAGTTCCATATGACTGGTATTTAAAAACCGAAGGTATCGTCCCTCTTACCCAGTGAGTTAAAGTGTTCTGAGAACACTCTGTTTCCAGTGCTTCCTACCTATACAAGTCACTTCAAGTGACAAACAGACCTGGGGGAGGGCCTGAGGCTGGGGCTGTCCCCAAGGTCTGCCTGCTGCTCACCAGCAGGGGCACTGCACCTTGCCTTGTAGGGCAATTTGAGGAGGGGGCCGCAGGATGCGGCCAGTCAGGTCCAGCTGCCCCCACTGTCTGTACCCTTTCAGTCCAGCTTCACGTGCCCCAGGCTGTAGGTGGGGAAGACGTGGACTGGGTCGCTGCACCATTTCTGAATCCTTGCTTACTTTCATGAATTCCCATCTAAACCATCTCATGGTAGTTCTGGAAATATCCAAATGTGCCACGTGAAAGCCCATTAGAGTCACATAGCTCAGTGCACTTGAAGGGCTAGCAACAAAATCTTAAGGAAAATTAAAGCACTTCCTCTCCCTTAGATCTGCCCCCCCTACAGCCCTAGCCCATGATGTGCCATCAGACCCTCTTGGCAGCAATAATAATATATACATACATACACAATACATACAGAACACGAGGAGAAGACAGCTCGCAGTGCTCCCACTTAATGATTACACTTCTTGGACTGTTTGTCACGCTATGCCTTACCCCAAAGCAAAAGCCAACAGAGAGTAACCTTGAGCCGTGTTAGTACAGGCCCGTGGGAGTTCTGTACAATTCTGCAGAGTTAGCAGGAAAAAGAAAATTAACAGCTTAAAAAAAATCTTAAAGTGATTTTGTGAGCAGGATTCCATTTCCGTTTCTAAGTCTTTAGATATTACAAAGTACCCATATATATGATAAACACTTAACCCAGATATAAATTTTTAAAAAACTCAGTTATGGTTTCGAATAATAATAATTAAAAAAATCACCAAAGCGGGGGTGGGGGGGAGCAGAACACCGAACAGTTGGGGAAGCCACGCTGCATCTTTCACGGATAACCACATACACTGGAGTTCACCCTTCACATTTCTTTTTTTTTTCCCAAAAGCCATCGAAATGATAGCAAAGAGTTGGCTTAAAAGAAAAGACTGAAATTTACAGTATGGTGATTAGTTTTAAAAAAAGGAAGGAGAAGGACTGTGAGAGGGCGAGGCCACAAATCAAGCTTGAAAGCAAAATTGTTTTGTTTCTCTTTGGCAACAACAACAAAATCTTTTCAGTTAAATGAAGCCAAAGCTTTCCCTACTGTGGAACAAACATACACCGAACTTGTTAGTATGAATATTGTGTGTGTATAAGAGGGAGGCCCATGGATAATATAAATTAGAAGTAATTGAAGTAGGGGAGGAAAATCTTACAAAATTTAAGAATATTTTCATTGACAGAGTAAAACACAGGTAAAACAATTGTATATTTTAAAAATATAGATAATAAAATGAGCATCTTCAGAAAAAGGCCATTACTCGGTAACCTGGGCAAGTTTGCCAGGTAAGTACATCTTGTAAAAAGTGTTGGTGTTAGAAATACCTAGTTGCAAAAATAGATGTCGAGAGTGAAGCTGGCGGGATGGCATGCAGGGGACCTGCCCTGGGGAAGGCCCTGGTTCAAGTGGCCTGGTCCAGGGCTCTGAGAAGTTCCCCTCCTTGCAGGAGTGTGGAGCTTCCTGGTACAGGGACGTTCACCTCACAGTCATATCTGGTCAATTCGGGCAGCAGGTAGGGCTCAAACGAGGGCCCAAGCAGCCGGCTTGCCATACCTGAAAGAACAGTTGGTAGGGTATTTCAAAAACTAAATCAAACATTTGGAAAAGGCTCTATTCCATAAGAGGCTACCGGGGATGTGAAGGGTACAACGGAACCCCAAGGAAGAGAGGTGTGTGGTGCAGGCAGCAGCAAGAGGATATTTTAGGGAATGGGGGTTGTGTGGGGGGAGCCCCCACGAAGGCTTCTTGGCCTTGAAGGAGGAGACATCAGTAAGGTCTTTCCCTGTCGCTGGCTGCACGCGCAGTGCCCCCCGACCCCCCGCCCGCACCTGCCTCCCCCACTGGGCCTCCCGCCTCTTGAAGCCCCCACAGTAGCAATAGATACTTCGGATGCTCACTATCCCTCTCTAATCCCCGTTTCTTTTACATACTGTCAGAAATAATCCCCCCCTGATTTCTAAGGTTCAAGGGAACGTGTGGGCTCATGGCAGGGACAACAGTGCTGGTTATTACTCAATACAAACTGTACCAGAGCTCAACACTTCAAATGTAGACCTTTCATTTAAGGGCGTGGCTTGCTCTGCCCTCCAACCAGTAAAGAGTGGGCTGGAATTTAAGGCCCTCGGGCTGTCTGGCGGCTCTAAAGCCCGGGTTCTGAGGCACTGAACAGCAATTTGCCCGAAACCATATTGCTGAAGAAACGCCCTCTTTTAGGTCAGGGGTCTGGTATGTTCTACTACAACCTCAAACTTGTTTATGGTAAGTAGTAACATTTTTGTGCCAACATCTATGTTTTGCAAGATGGTAACAGACTAATGAGGCCCAGGATGGAAGGCAGGTGTCAGGTGACTAACCCTCCGGAAGCTGCAGCAGGGCAACCTCTCCCACAGCCTCCCAGGCCACCCCCACCCCTCCGCCCGCAGCACGTTCTCCATGCGCATCCTCAGCTCAGCTCCCACCAGAACTGAGTGATGCCCCAGGAGGTCAATGGGGCATTAGGCAATTGGGTAACACAACGAACTGAGTAAAAGACACAGGCTCAAGAACTCTTTGGATTGGAAGAGCCTTGGGTGTCACCTGATTGTTGGAAGATTCCTTCTAAAGTCCTGTAGGCAGATGGCCTTCCAGCTCCTGCTGCGTTCCTTCTCAGAAGGAGGGCTCGCCCCTCTTAAAGCAGCGGCCCTTCGTGGCTGCAAGTCCGCCCCGTGCTGAGCTGAGACCTGCCGCCTTGTGATGCCCACCTCCGGGCCCTGGCCCCCCCCCGCCCCCCGCCCCCCCCGCCCCCACCGCACACGGCAGACGCTGGCATGGAGGCTTCAGCCCCTCTGTGCACCCACCTGCCGCCTTGTGGACCGATGGCAGGCTGTAGTCTTGGTACTGAAAAGCGCAACACTGCGGTGGGAACCTGCTCTTGGCGTTGTCCCCAGGGCTCACGGCAGACGGTGGCTGTGGTGGCGGCAGGTGTCTCAGAGGCTGACTTGAGCCCCTCATGGGATTTTGGGTGAATTCATCTGAAAGATCAACATTGGAGCATGAGGGCAGCACTGACCTGAGGGCGGGGAGAGACCGTGAAGCCCCCAGCATCCTCCTCTCCTTCACCGAAGGTGCTCAGAGTCACCAGAACTAGAGCCAGCCCCTGGGGCCTTGAAGCCTAGAGGTTTCTGACTGTCATTGAGCCAGACTGGGAAGGTGAAGTTGGGTGTGTGGAACGTGGGGTGGAAAGGCAGATGGTGAGTGAGAGGAACAACCAAGATGGGCCCCTGAGCCCCAGCCCTCCCACCTGCAAACACCCCACCCAGCCCCAGGAGGCCAGGCCGGTTGCTCACCACTGGGCACGTTTGCGCTCAGCTGCTTGCTGGGCATTGAAGGGCAGTTCCCGCAGCCCCTGAGAATCTTCATCCTTTTCCACATCAGATGGGAAGGGCTGCTGCCTGGAGGGTCCCCCTGGGTGTGGGAGGGGCAGATGTAGAAGGGAGAGGGCCGGAGAACCAGGTCCTCAAACTGAGTCAGGGGTGGGGCGGGCTCAGGGAAGCTGTGCCCAGAATAGAGCTGGCGCTCCCTCTCTCTGAAAGGCCCCATCCCCACCCCTCCCTGCTGCCCCTGGCTGGCACGCTGAGCCTCACCATGTGTGAGCGCTCCCTGCCAGCCTGCAGCTCTGCCCTCAGCCCCGATTCCCTGCCCAGCCTTCCCCAAGGGCTGTGGAGGGGACCCGAGATGACGCCAGTCAGGAGATGGCTCACCCCATTCATGTCTTGGAAGGCTTGCTCCTCGTACTCCAGCTGTCGCTTCAGCTTCAGCTTGTTGGAGAGGGCGACCATGGCGGGGCTCATCACGTCTGGGCCCTGAGGCCCGAAGCCCTTCGCAGACCTGCCAAGTCCAAGAGAGTGGGCTGTGAGGGAGCTTGGAGTCACGCCGCCAGTACCTTCCCCTGGACTTGGGGTCTTCGGAGAGCCCTCCCTGAGCTAATACGGCCGCGGCGGCTCTAAGACCGAAAGGGTGGAGTCCCAGCGGAAGGGTGTGGGCCCCAGGGCCTGAGCTGTGGCTCTGCTGCCCTTCTTCAGTTTCCTCTACGTGGTGGGGTGCTAACAGGTCAAGTCACCTGCACCTCCCTCCTCATGTGCCCGCCCGTCCAGCTGTACCTCCTGCTGGTGATATCACCTGCCCAGCTAGGAGGCATCAGTCTTTAGGAGGGTTTCTTCTGCCCCGTCTCACCCTGTCTGAGCTGCTCCCACTGAGGGCTGCTCTGTCCAGGGCACATGCCCCAGGGCAGCGTAACCAGTGTGCCTGGGAGCTGGAGGTCATACACCAGCCATTGTGCCTTGGCCCAGTGAGCGCCCAGCTGGCTGACAAGGGGCTTGTTGGGGATTTGAAGGAGCCAGGGAAGGCAGGACAGAAAAGGCAATGGTGGGCGCCAAGAGGCAGGGAGAGGAGGGGCATCTTTTCACTTTTCTCAACCAGGGTTCCATGAGGGAACTGAGAAAATCATCGCTCACATCACTGATTGTGTTCTGTGGCTCCGGTAATGAGCTCTAGGTAAGAAATTACTCTAAAGGGGTGCTCCAATGAGCGACATGGGTGTTCAAGGCTTGGCCAGCCTACTTCTCTCCCTTTCCTGTCCTCAGTCTCCTCTCAACTCCCTCCAGCCTCGATAAACACATTCCTGCTCGAGACCTCGGGAACCTCCCGGACCTTGGGGTGACACCCTGCAGCCTGAGCTCTTGGATTTCAGAGCAGGGCTCACTGGGGGCTCAGCCACTGTGGGGCAGGAGTGGACGGTGGGGCAGGGAGCCTTTCTGGGCCCTAGGTCTCCCTGCAGTGGGTGCCTACTGTTCCCTCCCTTTTCAGCACAGCCTTGGCTGATGGAGCCAAGGGTCACTGCCACCTACTTCTTCTTGAACATGGAGAGATGAGGCGAGGTGAAGGGGGGCCCCAACGGTGACGCCCCGAGGGCCTCAGTGCGCTGATCTCCAACAGGCCACTTCGTGGGACGGAAGTGTAATGGTGGGTCCGGGGGCCACTCTGTGTTGAATCTGCCCCCCAAAGAAGAGAGAGGAGTGCTGGCCTGGCCGCAGCACAGTGGCAGGGACACTTTGCTCCCGCCATCGAAAAAGTTGGAGGACAGGGGCTGGTGCTCAGGTTCTATCTTCTTGCTTTCCAGTGGCTGCTGATACTTGTCCAGGAAGCAGGGGCTGTGGGAAGCCATAGGGGCCAGCGGCTGGAAGATGTTCGTCATGGTGCTGAAGCACTGCGGGGGGATGAACTGAGGGTTCTCAGGCGAGAGCTTTTCCTCCGGGCAGATGGGGCTCAGCTGGAAGTCTTCCCCATCCATGGGGATGTAGGGTGCCAGCGTCTCCAAGTCCAGCTCGTTGAAGTCCACCTGAGGAGATGCGGAGCAAAGACAAAGGAGCTCAGCAGCTGGCGCCGCTCTCACACCATTCCATCTCCGTCCCTCACCCCTCCCTGCTAGAGGCAATCTTCCCGCACAGCCTGTCGCAGCACGCCCGCTGCCCCCCCCCCCCCCGCCCCCCGGCTCTGAGGCCTTTACTGGCTCCTGGTGGCCCACCCGAAGGAGCCTCAGACTCCTTTCCTAGACTTCCCGTGCGGTTCATCCCCCTCGGCCTGCGCCACCCGGCTCCAGGCGGACATCCCTCTGCACACCACACGTCACTGGCCCCAAGACGCTCTTCTCTCCACTCTACCTGCCCAAACCCCACCTCCTCTCGCGGAGGCCCAGGCAAGACCCACCTCTTCCACAAAGCCGTCCCTCCCTCTCTCTTTCCCACGGTGATTGCCCCGTCCCTGTCCTCATGGGACACTTAGGCCTGTGGTGCACACAGTGGCTCCCGGAGAGCCAAAGGCAGCTTGGCCCTCCTCTCCCTCAGCGGCCCTGGCGCGGGCCTGGACGCACGGTCAATGCCAGGGTACAGCTGCGACTGCTCAGAGGCAGCGGCCCCAGGAGTGACTTTCATCCCCATCAGCAAGTCCTCAGAGATGGCCCCTCAGGTCCCCAGGATCACACTGGGCACCACAGGGAATACCCACACACAGATGCCGACAAAAGTTTCTGCCTTTGGAGAATGACACCCTCACTGGGGGGATGTGCCTAATGTATGAACGATCACAATGGGACAAACTGGTCAGAGACAGAAGCAGGCAGGTGTGATCAAGTACTGAGTAATAAATCCTGGTGGAGTTCCAAGGGGAGAGAAGGGAGGGCCGCCAGGGAAGGGCTGGCACGGGGAACACTTGGCAGGATAGCTGGAACCCGTGCCAGGCAGGATAAAGAGACAGCAGAGGAGCGAGGCGGAAATTTGAATGAGCAACCCAGACTGAGACAAATGCGAATTAATGGTTTTCCTTTGGGTTTTGTGAAACGCGCACCCATCCACCCGCCTCAGCCCTGTTTACACAGTTTCTGCAGGAGCATTGGGCCTTATACAATAAACGCTTTCCTGAAAAGTGACATGGAAGTGAAAATTTATGAATCAGATGTGATTTTTAAATGCACTTGAAATAAAATAGTGTTTCAAAGACTCCTAAGATGATTAAGTTTGTGAAGGGAGTAATTGTTCCCTATGCTTATAAATGTCTTATACATGTGAATGTCCTTTATAAATATCGGGCTTCCTTAAAGAGAAGTCCAGTCATAGTCTTGGCTTTCACAGCGCTAAGAAAGCTGTCTCAGTCAGCAGGAGATAAACGAGGTGAGGGTTAAAGTTGGGGAGCTGGGTTGGACACAGGTGAAGCAGATGGCGGAAGTGGGAGAAGGGACCTCCACAGGCTCGATTTCCCTGCACCCTCACCCCGTTAGGGACCATGGCCTTGGCTGGCCAAGTATCTCTACTGGTCTCTGCCACAAAGAGCTGAGGCTGCAAGACCGGATGTGAACCTTCACCAGCAGCAGTGGGAGGGTACAGCATGCCGCCCCGATCTCCTCCATGGCTGCCTACCTGGGGGCTGCACTGGTCCTTTGCCTCTGTGTCCATGGCAAAGAGCTTCTCAATCATTTCAATCTTCAGATCATCATTCAGAGATGTGTAATAGTCTTCAGGGCTGCTGGGCTGGGGACCAGGAAGGAGAGTGACAATGTCAAGGGTATGACACTAGTCTCCTCAAAGTCCAAGTTGGAAAGAAAAATACATTCTTGGGCCCATAAATCAACTCCATTCCACCCAACAAGTACTCCTTACAAGCTGTATGAATTAGGTCAATTCATCAACCTCTCTGAACTTCAGTCTCCACATAAAATGAGCCTGTCTCGAGAGCAGATGGGGATAAAGGCCATGGCCAGAAGGGCTCTGGAAACTGTACATCACTATGTCCTGAGCAGGGATGGAGCTAGGGGCTCAAAACTGTGTGCAACTCAGCCCCTGCATTCAAGGAACTTATTAAGATGGGGATGGATACTGGCAGCAAGAAAACAGCTCGAATACCTGGCAGGTATGTGTCACCACCTCTGGGATAAGTTGAGTAGGAGGGCAGTGTTTCTGTCCAGTCTGTCCAGCCATCCGGCAGCGGCCAGAAGGAGGAGCCCACCCTCTCTGTGGCCTCTCTCCAGGGGGGCTCACCGTGGAGCAGCTGCTGCTGCTGGTGGCACTGGGGCTGGTGTTCCCCGGCGCGGCTGCCTGGGGCATGGTGAAGGCAGGCAGGCTCGCGGGCAGGCTCGCAGGCAGGCTCCCGGGCTCACTCTGGGCACCGTGGCTCCTCAAATCCTCAGCCCATGGCTGGTTAGGGGGCAGGATGGTCTCGCCATAGGCTGATGACTCCTCAAAGTTCTGGTTCCCTGTGGAGACAAGGGTCTGGCCTGGTTAACACTCACAACCACTGGGCTCAACCCCAGGGCAGAGACAGCCCAAAGGATGCAAAAGAAATCTCCACAAGGCCTGGAAATTAGGCCCTCAGTGCTCTGAGGCTTAGCTGGGACAAAGGACCCTTTAACTGGGGCTGAGTCAACATACAGACTCGCTTTCAAGAAGACACCCTCCTGGAGCATTTAATTTTCAGAGACTAATGTATTAGGAGCCGCTGTTCCTTGAAGAGCAATCCAGAATGTAGATGAGAAGGTTAAGAGAGGAGAGTTGGGCAGTCTGCCTTGGTACTACCACAAAACAGGGAAGCTGCAACGCTTCTCATCCCAGGATGGTGCTCTATGATTCTCTGAAGTTGCTATTCTCATGTGGCCTCTCAAGAACTTGTCTAAAGGGACCGAGACAGTCCAGAGCAAGGACGGCAGCTGTACCCACTCCTTTTGTAGCCACAGCAAGGCTGCGGGTCACACACGGGGACACAGGGGGAAGAAGGGGCCCCCAGGTACACATTAAGGTGCCTCCAGCATGGGAGCAGGAGGGCCTGAATGCTCTCTCTGCAGCTGGAAGGACTTGTGTTTCTGCGAGTCCGGCACATGTGTTAGAGAAGTAGTGCCTATGGGGCTCAATCTGGGCCTGAATCTTTTCTCCATCCATGTGTCTGGAATTATTTCTCCCAACATTATTTCAATTTGGCCCTCTGCCTAAAGAGCAATTTGTCCTTTAAGGTGCAGGTGGAGATGCACCCTCTCTGGGAAACCGTGCCCGGGGCCTCGCAGCAGACCCCTTGCTGCCCTCCTCTCATCTCAGTCGCCTACTCCTGGGGTGGAGATGTGACTCCCCGGGAGGGAATCCTGCATAACCACTCCTAGCTCAGCACTCACAAAGTGAGAAGGAGCACGGTCTTTCTCCACGGTAGGTAGGTATGTGTTGTTCTTTTGTGCCCAGCGCAGAGTCTGGCCACTAACAGTTGCTTAGCGAGACTCAGGGAAGGAACAGAGGTATCTCTGGTTAAGGAAAAGCTGTTGTCAGGGAGGCCTGTTACGGTAAAAACCTCCCCCACCCCAAGAGGGTTCGACGACCCCCAGCTCAGCGGACAAGCACCCACCAAAATCCAGAGAAATGATGGCATCTCCCGCAGTGGGGGCCAGCTGGGCCAGCTCCTCCGGTTCCTCCTTCAGCTTGGTGTACAGGAAGTGGCTCTTCTCAGAAACAGCCACCTCGCCACTGTTGTCAAAGATGCTGTTCATGGCCATCAGGTGCGGCTTGAATAGGGATTCCGTCTGGTCCATGGAGAACACCACATCATTCTTCTCAATCTCACTGGCGGGGCAAGAGGGCACTTCAGACCTTCCACATTTTCTAGCCAAATCCCGTTGCTCCCGAGGCACAGGGAAACCCTGGTGCCTAAGCCTCTTAGCCAAACACCTGGGTATGGACACTGTGTCATCACTTTGTAAAGAACCATACAAATGAAAGTTTGGAGTTGGGGTAGCAACGCCGAGAGTGCCTTTGGAAGATGGATCTGTCTTGGATGCTATTTTATGACCCGATTATGCATGGTGTACACAGGTTTGGAGGTTTTTGTTTGTTTCAGTCTAGCGATGACTTTACCCAGCTTTCTTTCCAGGTGCTACAGAGTGAAGGTGTTACATCTGCTTTTCTCAAAACACATGAGTGGTTTTCCCCATTCAAAAACTACCCTCTAAGTGATGACTTTGTTCTGCGCCCCCATGTGGGTAGAGGAATGGCACAGAAGACAAAGGAAAAAGGCAGCAAAACCACGGGAAAGGGGAAACCCCAGCTTCCCACTGCTCCTGAGACACCTACAGCAGCCCTCTGGGTCCTAAGGATGAGCACTGCAAAGAGCTCCGGAAGAGCCTTCGGAGAGGCTGGGCCTTCACTGGGCCTGCCATCCTCAGTCTGGGGAGCTCGCCCCCCACCCCCACATACCTGTCCCCCACAAGCCCTCGCACACTCACCTCAGGACGTAGTTCACACACATGATGCACTGGGGCTGCAGGTTGCGAGGGTTGTAGATGACCGTCCCCTGCGTCTCCAGCCACACATAGCCCCCGTGCTTTGCCAGCATCCGGTACTGGCCGCTCACCACCTGACCCTTGGTGCACACTATGGGAGGAGAAGGGGGCCTGAGCTCAAGGAGGCGGGGGAGTGCGGACCCCACGGGAGGGCTGCCTGTGCAGAAATGGGCAGCGCTAGGCAGCAGAGCTTGAAGACCGGTGCTTAGAGATCCTCCCACCCAAGTCTTCACGTAGAATACAGGGCTGGGAGGACCAGAGGGGTCACATGACTTGCCCCACGCTGTCTGGAGAGGATGGGCCCATTGTCAATCCCTTGACAAGTCCCCCCGCACCGACTGGCTCTGCCTCGCTCCCGACTGCCCCTCCCAGGGGTCAATGACAGGAAGCCCCACAGGGGCACTGGGGGGACGTTCCTCTGTCCTGCACTCCAGGTTAGGGGCGGCGTGGAGAAAGCCTGTGCTCAGGGCAGCCCTTTATAGCAGTCCCGCCAGCAATACTCAGCTTGTGAATAAATGCAGTTAAAGAAAATGATAGCCTTGATTGTTCCAGGTCGTCTATCAGGCCTAGTGCTGTAGGGCCACCGAAGGCTTGTGACCCACAGCAAAGGCACAGGTAAGGGGCTGGGGCTGAAGTCGGGCTGGGGCCCCGGCAGCCTGCCTTCAGCCTTTTCAAAACTGTAAGTCCTTCCCGCTCCTTGTCCTCCCTGTTGCCCAGCTAGGCTGCCTGCTTATGATTTCTTTCCAATTCCAGACTGTTCTAAATGTTCACTTAACATTTGTGTTTATTGTATGAAGGCGCTGGGGAAGGGCTCCCGCATGTCAGACTGCCCTCTTCCCCAGTTCAGAAGGCTCCATCTGCTCCCATTAAAAAGGAATCAATAAATCCCTTTAAATGAAAGTCTACTCATATTAGAATTTCTCATAGTTTTCTGAATTGCCTCATTACGTTTATTCCTTGGGAACTCATTCCTCAGAATTCCAACTCAGAGACCCCCTACATCACCCAGAAGTGGAAAGAGAGATGGTGGCAGGATTAGGAAATCATGCTAGCATGGGGACTTTGGGAAAAGAATGATCTCTCTTGGTATTGGTTTCCTCACCTGCAAACAATGATAATATCATTACTAGCTGTGCAGTATACAACTGTTTTTACTAAGGGTCAAATCTGCCTTATCAGGTACAAGAATGTAGACTGAATATCACTGACAAATCTTCCCCAAAGTTACTAGCATGGATAGTGCCTGGGCCCTGATACATCTACAGCCCACATCTGTAGATAATGTTGTGAAGGGTCCGGTGGGAGAATATCCAGATTCTCCTAGTAGGCTGGTGGGCCACCTCCCCATTCCCCACCCCTGTGTGGTCGAGGAATGAAGCTTGGTTCATACTAATGCTGCTTGTCACCCTTTACATTTGTTTTTCTTGGCGGATATTATCCTCTTCAAGAATTTAACCAGCACCTCCAAGGTGCAGGAAATACCATAACTTACACGTGTACAGTGCTTTGCAGTGTTCAAAACTATCTCACAAGATGAATTCATTTCTGCAAAGCAATTACAACAGTGCCTGGCACACAAAGCATCAATAAAGATTATTAGTCTTGTCATCATGTCATTTTAGACACAATAACACCACGAGTATCTATTGTTATTCCTGTTTTACATACGAAGAAACTGATGCTTGAAACTATTGAGTGATTTGCTGAAAGGCCCCCTCAGCGGAAACGGTAGACAAGGTGAAAGTCCAAGTGAAAGACTCCTGTCTAAGCTTGTTTTTGTTTAAAGCTCACTTGAGTGAGGTTGAATTTACTTTCAGTTTAAAAATGCACCCATTTAAGCATACAGTGCAATGACTTTTGACACCCTGGTAACTATCACCGCACTCAAAGATGCGGTGACTTTTCCCTCACCCCACCCCCATCAAAGAAATCCTTGTGCCTCTTGACAGTCAATCCCTATTCTCACCCCTGGTCCCAGGCAACCACTGATGTGTTTTCTGTCACTAAATACTGAAATGCTCTCTTCTCCATTTGTACCTAAGTGGAATCAGACAAGAGCATGGAGGCCTGTGTGCCTGCCTTCTTCATACTCAGCATGTTTTCCAGATTCCTCATGTTGTTGCAGGAATTCGTGGATTGTTCCTTTCATTGCTGAGTAATCCATTGTATGGATGTACCATACTTTACCCATTCACCTGTCAATGGATGTTTGAGTTGTTTTCAGTGTTTAGCTGCTGTGTACAATCCTTTGTGTGGACATACTTTTCATTTCTCATGGGTGTGTAGCTAGGACTGTAATGGCTGGGTTGTATGCTAAGTATATGTAAATCCTGTGCTACAGGGAAGAGAGAGATCATCTAACACGAAGAAACTGAGGCCAAAAGGATTGTGACCCTCTTAAGGTCACCCGGTCTTGTGGCTCCTGCTCCAGTGCCCTCTCTGTACCTGCCCCTGAGCCAGCGTCCACGGGGAAGACTAAATTTGCTGTTGCTCCTGTCCTGAACCTCATGGACTCTCTGACCAAAGAAATAACTTCTGTTCTCCCTGATTTCACTTCTCTGCTCCACTGAGGCCCCCCTGCTGCAGTGAAATGATTCTTGCACAATTTCAAGTGGCTGGAGTTAACTTATTTAGACGGTTCTTAATGCAGACAAAATTCAGGGCTCTTATTCTTGATTAAACAGTGCAGCGAGCAAAGGTTTTAACTGCATTTCTAGCGACTGCAGGCGAGGGCCTGCTCTGGCAGTGGAATATAATTACGCCTGCCTTCTAATCACCTGCTCATTAATGGCAGCCTTGGTGAAGGGTCTGCTACTGGCTAGATAGGCTTTTTATGACCTTTAATCTTGTTTTCCTAAAAGCACATAATGTCCTCACACAACAAAGGAAAACCAATCCCCCAACCCCTCCTCTCTGAGAGTAACAATGTATAAATTACTAATCCATTTGGAAATGATCGCTTTCAATTATCTGAATCTGGTTTGAGGGCTGAGCTTCCCCCGCCAATGTCAACGGTAAACGTTCACAGGCTAAGACACATACGTGCAGAAATTCGGATGCTGGTGTGTCAATGTGGACCGGCCTCCAACCTTGGCCTCCAGCTACTTCACAGCGTGAGTGTGGGGCTGCAGTGCAACTGCATTTGCACAAACCCAAGGCAAGGGCGAGCCTTCTGTTTTGGCCAGCGCTAACCCGATTTCTGACCCAAGCAGATTTCTTTGGCTAGATTGGGGCTGGCTGGCTGGGTGCAGGCCTCTGAGCTCAGAGCAGCTTCACCTGGTTCCACCAGGGGAAGAAGGGAGCCTGTGATTTCCATTCGGTCTGTGAATTACCTTTAAGTGTGCCTAATGCTAAAACACAGAGATTCCATAAAAAGCACAATATTTCCCTTGTAGTCAGCAGAAAACTGTGACAAATTTTTATCCCAGCACTTTTTTTTTTCTTTTCATGAATCAAACCTTTTCTAAGAAGAAAATAAAAAGAAAAAAAAATCCTTACATGCTTAGAGACAAGTCATCATTTTTGTTCCCTTGGATAGTAGTTCCCAGAAGGCAAAGTATTATATAATACTGTCCTCCAAGAATTCCCAGAAACTTTTATGTTTGTCGCCTGCTTTGACTTCACCCGCGGTTGATGAGAAAAGCTGGACTTTCCCCCAATTTTACATCTATAGAGGGAAGGCCCAGAGGGCCTGGCCCTGGGGAATCAGCAGGGCAGCTGGGTCAGAGCCCAGATCTCTGAGTCCCAACATCAGGATGCCTTTGGGAACAGGAACGGCCACAGACCAGAAAAGCACAGGGACCCAACATGAAGGCAGGAACCACGTCCTACAATTTCAAAAGCGAGGGCAGGCTCTCATCCATCCTTGTGGGCAGGGCACACACAAGAGCCTCCACCTCCCTCCCCCATCCCTGGGTCCATAATGGAGGCTGAGCCTAGGCCGTTTGTTTGTTTGCGGGACAGCATAGTGAGAAACTTTTCTGAGATATCATAAGGGGCCCTGTTTCACTGTCAGATCAAACTCAGAAACCACAACGCAGCAGCAGAGAAGACCTCACTCTCTAAGAGATTATTAACTGTGCTCAGATACCGCTTATGGGGTTGCTGATCTGTTAGCTGCTCTGAAGAACCTCAGCTGTCCTAACCTTGGGATAGATGGGTGGATTTAGGAACAAGGCATGAATAGCGGTACTTTCATTTTTTTCATTGCTACTCCAAGTCACAGCTGATCCTGGGAGCTCAAGACCAGCACAGCCACTGAGAATCTTCTCATTCTTAATTTACCCATTTTCGATCCTCCTATAATCCTCTTGCCCTCTGTCTGCACCACTGTGGGCATTTCCTTTGAAGCATTCATTTCCAAACATGTTTTGTGCCTTTGGGTTTATCATTCATTTAGTGCCTGTACCACATCTAACACGATGCTAGGTACTGTGGCTGACTGAAGGTGCGAGCCACTTGGCTCCCTTGGAGCCCACAGCCTCTTCTTCCCTCAAAAACAAGATCCCTTAGGGCAAGGATCAATCCTATCAACTTCTATTTCCCTCAGTGGGCCAAGAATAGAGTTATAAACCCAGAGTCCTTACATGTTGATAGGTTGTATGGACTCAAGAAAACTGTCTTGGGTCACCTGCAGATGGGAAGCCTGAACTAGGAATATGACTGAGTGAATGAACTAGAGCTGCCCTTTCTAATATGGTAGCTACTAGCCAAATATAGCTATTTATTTATTTATGTAATCCTCACCTGAGGATATGCTTATTGATTTCAGAGAGAGGGGGGAGAGGGGGAGAGAGAGAGAATCATTGATCAGGTGCCTCCCATATGTACCCTAACTGGGGATTGAACGCACAACCTTTTGGTGTTTGGGACAACACTCCTACCAACTGAGCCACAATTGCCAGGACAAGTGTAGCTATTTCAACTTAATTAAAATTAAATTTAAAAAAATTCAGCTCCTCAGTTGCCCTAGACATATTTCATGTACAGCATAGGTTGCGTGTGGAGTAGGTGGGTAGAACATTTCCACTGCAGAAAGCTGTATTGGCCAGTCCTGTTCTAGAACTCTCTCATAACTTGGGCTTCTTTCAAGCTGCCGAGAACAGTTTCCAAATGACTTCACTGGGTTGCCTAGCAGCCTCCTCCAACCGAGTTCTCTTGATCCAGCAAGCAAGCTCTTAGAGGACCATCGATTGCATTTGTGCCCTCCTACCTTACCTTCTCTTTACCCCTCGCCTATCCTTCAAGGTGTCCAACTCAAGTGCCCAAGCCTCTCCTTCCCTGAACTTCGCCAGCCCTCCTCTTCTCTGAATGAATGTACTTGCTCCTGTAGCACGTACCCCAAGGGGACTACCCTCGGGTTACCCTTTGCAGGGCTGTTCCACAGGGCTGTGCAGACTACTCACTCCATCTGTTGCAGGGGAGGTGGTATGTGGGGGCTGAGGTTCAGCCCACCTTCTACTCCCCAAGCTGTATGGCAGGACGTGGGTGTGTCGTCCTGGAAGAAGAAGCCTTTTCCTAATTTTCATGAAGGTGCCGTGAAGGCTGGTGGCAGCCTTGGTTCTCTAACCATCCTGAGTGTGTGAGTCTGTCTGTGCACAGGGTAGCGGCTCTGTGAAGGGAGTGACCGGGTCTTCTGCCTCACCGGTCATCCCCCACTCAAGGCCAAATTCCAAAGACACCAGGGAGCCACCCAGGACACTCCAGGAACTTACAGTTCTGGTGACTTTTGGTCATATTCTCTGAGTCCAGTGCATGGTAGAACTCATAGGCTGAGCGGCCAAGCAGCTCCTCTGGGTGGTAACCAACCAGTTCCGTGATTCTGAATTTAAAAAAAAAAAAAAAAAAGCATGTAGGGAAGAGAAACCATATAAACGTGGGCAAGGGCTCAAGGAGCTAAATCCAGGAGGTAAATCAAAGGCACACACATTCAGGTGAAAACACCACAGGCTTCCTGGTCACACCATTCACGCAAGCAAGACACATGGTGGTCAACTGGCAACTGTAGATCCACCAACCTCCACTCTTCCTGCCCTCCCTGAGGTCGTGCTTGGGGAGGAAGGAAAAGTGGCTCCTCAGGGGGCTTCCTACCCCCACCCCTAATATACACATGTGCCTAGTTTCCAGCAACCATGGAAGGGGCTCTCACCGCACCCTCCCACCCCAGTTTCTGCAGATGAGGGAGTAGAGACCAGGGAAGGCAGACAATTTGCTAATGTCTACACATGTCCAGGGACAGAGCAAAAATGAAAACCAGGGCCTTCCGACTACTAGATCAAGCTTAATGTAGCAGAGGGTGATATAAAGGAAAAGTGAAAATTATGTGGCCCCAAGTGGGGAAAAAGCATAAAGATGACCTTCGTCTGCTGTGAACCACAGAGTGAGGGTGAACCTGGGGGAGGGAGAACCCCTTCTGTGTTGAAAGCTTCCCCCCTCTGGGTGCTTCTCATGTTCTGCCTGCTGACCTCAGCTTCCTCTTGGACACAGGGTCTGCCTTCCACAGGTTCTTCTACTTGTCCCCCTCCCTATTTCAAGGAAGGGAAGAAGAGCAGGAGATACTGAGAGGAAGAACTATAAAATCATAGTCATAAAAATGTGCCTCCTCATTACATTCTCCAATGAACTTGCACCTCTGAAATGACAGGGCTTGGCCCTCCTACATGTGTCTTGTGTCATCCTGTAAGGTGTCTGTTTTTGAGGGAAAGTGGGTAGAGAAAAGGCAAAGATGGAGAACCGTAAGAATCACTGAACACGCCAGGGACCCTTTGCTCTGTGCTGGAGTCATTAAAATAAACCAGCCCTGCCCAAGAATCGCCAGATTAGCCGCATTCCCACATCATACCTAAATACTATTTTTTGTAATCTTTGTTATTTCACACATTTCTTCTAATGGGCTCATGGTCTCATTAATCACAAGTTAGAAGTGATGCTATTCAAATCATTCCAAGCTCTATGTCAGCATGCATGACTTTTAGGTAAGACCCCATCATTTATCATCTCTGTTGGAGATTAATATACAGAGAGGGAAGCAGAAACAGCGTCTCTGCTCTCTCCCTCTGAAAGGGTCTGCATACATCTATCAGAAGAAATCACCATAAAATGGCGCCTCCATCCAGACACTCCCCTATGTATGAATACAGCTTTCCCTATGTCCAGCTGCATCAGGAGTAAGTAAACTCTGCCTAACTCCCAAGTCCCCCCAGATCTAGTCTCCATCTTCCATGCAATTTGATTTTCAACTGACCTTCAGCATGACCTGCACCCTCTGCCCTGGTGGACCCTCCTCGCAGTTCCCTGTACCTGGTAAACTCATTCTTGCTGCAAAAGCTTGATGCCTTCTTCCCTTTCCTCCCCCTTCTCTAAGCCTTGACTACTGTGGGGTCAGCCCAAGGCCTCACCCTCTCCCTGGAGGCCTCTCCAATTCCTCCAGCCCTCGCCAGTGTCTCCTCATGAAGGCCTTATGGGCAGACACGGTATCACAGAGGATTATGTGTTTGTCTCTCCACACCCTACCTAGGCTGTCAACCCCTGAACTCAGGGGGCCGCTTTATCCTTTGGTGTCCCCCACACGGTAAGTACTTGAGTAGCTGACTGGTGGATTGATTCTCTCTCAGGATCTAAGGCACAAGCAGAGCCCAGTCTCTCCCAGCACTGCTAAGCAGTCCAGGCCCCAGTTCTCACTTTTCCTCCTAGAATGCGATTAACCGCCTCCGTGCATGCTGGTGAGCACACATGCACAGCTCTCAGTGGAAATGCTTGTGATGCTCAATCCATCTATTCTTCATTCTGGAAGGTGTGTCTGGTGTCAACATGGGCGGAGAAGAAGCAAGTTCTATGCCTAGGTGAGACTTGGGGATTAGAGCCTTTGTCATACAAGGGACAGCCCAACAGGGCTGAGAAGCTTAGGTCTCAGATCAGACAAGATCGGTGCGTTCAGGGTAATATGGCCTTACACCATGGATGCAGCCACCGTGGAAAGCAGTGTGGCGATACCTCAAAAAATTAAAAATGGATCTGCCTTTTGACCCAGTGATCCTACTTCTGGGAGTATATCTGAAGGAACCCAAAACACTAATTTGAAAGAACATAAGCACCCCTATGTTCATCACAGCATTATTTACAATTACCAAGATATGGAAGCAGCCTAAGTGTCCATCAGTAGGTGAGTGGATAAAACAACTCCAGGACATTTACTCAATGGACTACTACTCAGCTGTAAAAAAGAAGAAAATTTTACTCTTTGCAACAGTACAGATGGACCTAGAAAACATTATGCTAGGTGAAATAAGCTAGTCAGAGAACGACAAAGCCCATATGGTTTCACTCCCATGTGGAATCTAACGAACAAACTGAACTAACAAGGAAAACAGAGACTCATAGATGGAGAGCAGGAAGGCAGTAGTCGGGGGAAGCGGGGGTTAGGGAGTGGAGGGATTGAGCAATAAGGAAAAAGGACTCATGGGCATGGACAACAGTGTGGTGATTGTTGGGGGAAGGGGGTATAAGGGGACTGAATGGCAATGGAAAAAGAATACAATAAAAGAAAGAAAAGAAAAAAGCTTAGGTCTCAGTGATTTCAGCACAGCGGAGACCTCTCCAGTGAGGTTCCAGCAGCTCACTAGTGCCAGGCAGCCGGTCTCAGACCAGGAGGACCTGTCCCCTCACTTGGCCTTGAGCAGAGAGTCTCTGAACTCATCAGCAAGGGACATGTTCCTTGTCACCCTGCCCCTGGGGCTGGTGCCCAACAGCACCTTATCCGAGGTGGAGACTGGGGGAGAGCAAGGGGCAGAAGAACAGTGCTGGTCCTTCCTTTTCTACAACCACGTGTGTTTTCCATCAGGCTCAGTGCCCCTCTAGCTTAGCCTGGGAATCAGGAGTGCACTGGGGTCCCTGCTGACAGTCAGCTGGCCACTCCCAGGCTCCCAGGCTCCCAGGCTTGCCACACAAGCGGCTTCTTATCTTGGACGGGTCAAAAAGGAGGGTATTCTGGGAAAGATTGGATTCTACTCCCTAAAGAAGCTCAATTTTCTTTCACAACTAGAATCTTTAAAATGTTCTAAGCAAATGTTTGTTATAATCAGGCTCATAATAAAACATTTTCAGTCTAATTAATATACCATCCATTCAAAGGCACACAATGGGCATGTTCTGGAAGAGGACAAACAAACCTAGATTTCAGAAGAGCCAGCTATCTTCCCAGTAGCAGCCTTCATTTATCTTGTCAACAAAAATAAATATTTAATGTCCCCTTCTTCATTCCTTTAAACAGACTATAAAAACTGGGAAATACGCATACCCCAAACACAATGGAAGAACATTCAAGTTGTCCGATTTCACAAAGCCAGGAAACCCCAACTTAAAGCTGATGGTCATTCGCCTTCATCTGTAGGCACGCAGACGCCAGTGGGAGGTTAATGAACCCAGCTTGTTTATAGGGACGGCTACCACGGCACAGAAGAGCCTACCCGCTAACTTCCCGGGGTCCCAGAGAAGCCTCCAGAGCTGGACTGTGATAACACAGGCTCATCTGCCCTCTCCGACAGGGACAGAAAAACTATTTTTTTTCTTTCTTTCTAATTAAGAGCTCCCGACTCACTGGGGAAAAAAATCAGGTTGGGGTCATCAATAAATTAAAACGTTCATTCAGTAGGGCTATTCTGTTTTCAGAGAAGAGGGAAATACACAAGGGCTCAGCTCACCAGATTTCGGAAATGAGAAGAATAGTCACTCTTTCATAATAAAGTGGAAAAAGAAACAGATCAAGGATGAGGTGGGGAGGGGGATGTGGACATAGGCAGCCACGGGAGGCAGATGAAGAAGGAAGAAAAAGAAAAAAAACAAAATACAGAGGAAAGAGTGCTGTTAAATTCTGGAGTTAGTGTTACCCCAAGTAAATGTGTGAGTCAAACCACCAAGGTCTGGATTTCTGAGTTAGACAGGCCTTCGCGATGTAACATGACAGTTACTCATTGCTCTTCAATTGCTCTTTCCCCTTAAGAACATTCAGAGGCCCTTTTCGACGTGGACAGCCTGCAACCGAGTGCCAGGAAGAAAACCGTTCTGCAGGCTACAGCGTCAGTGCCGTCACCTGGGGAGGCAGCGGGGACTAAGATGGCTTCCTCTTCTTGCCCGTGACACTGCCAAGTGCCAGTCCCTGGGGGACAAGCAGAGAGCCCCCTGACTTCAGAAGCCACTGCCTGGAGTCAGACGAGGTCTGACTGTGGTTTCTACCCCTGTGCTCCACAGGAGTAAAGCATTTGCTGAGTAAATTAAACATGATGGGTTAGAGTATTTAAACTGTTAAAGAGGATAAAAGTTTTAAGTACTTTATAACCACTTATTTGTTTCTCACGGAATGCATTTGCTCATAAACCATACTTGTATTAGAGTCTGCTTTCTTCCCTTCCACCCTCTTCCCGCAATGCCCTCTCCTAGGCAACAAGGGGTTTGACTCATTCTAGTTTTTATATGTGCACGTCAGCTTTGAAATTGCGTTTTCTAATATCCAGACTATTCACTAACTCAGATTTCATTGTCTTCTATTTTAATATATTTTGATCCAGATTTTGTTTTGAACAACAGCACGTTGACCCTGTGCTTTCCTTGAATATCACACAGTGTGCAAAATCTGTACAACCAACTCTGTAGGTGATGGGTAATCGATTCCCAGCCTGTCAGTGTGATGTGCTAAGAGCTGGTTAATTTATCCACAGGAAGGTGGGCCTGGCTCAATCCTGGACTCCCCCTGTTCTGGGTGCCACCAAATGCCTCAGCTGCCTTCCATTACCCTGGAAGGCACACACAGTAAGAGAAGATTTGCTCTGAACCATAGCAAGAGAGAAGCAGATCATGTAGAAGGAATACATTTTGAGTTGCAAGGTCTAGGAAACTTTGAAATAAATTCCAAGGAGAATTTGTAGAGCTGCCCCTTTCAGAGAGTATTTCAAGTAGACTAGATTAGACAGGATAATATATAAGACTTCCTCATATATATGCTCAGCCTCTGTTAGGCTGATTTTAGGACTTTGTCCTTTGCAGGAGACACAGATGCACAAGGGCAGTATTTAAGGTTTCCTCTCACTCAGGGATTTAAAGAAACACACTATACCTTCTTGCAAAGATGTATTGAGAAAGGCTAGTTAGAGAAAAGGCAAAAATGTTTATAATAGACTATATATTAAACATAAAAACCTACATGTAGTGTATTAATCTGAAAGATCACCCTAAATTTAAAAATATCATTCATCCTTTAAAAAATTAAAACAAAAAATTTATTAAATGTACTTCAATATGCAATGAAAGTATTTCATCTTAACTTATTAAACTTATTAAGCTTCTGATATTATTATGCCCTGTGCTGCCTTAATTCAATAACAAAGCAGAGTTGCCCTCAAACTCTTTGCCTATAAAGATTACATGAACCTCTTTGCTAATTTCAAATTTTTTACTGTAACTTTGGTGCCTTCCCCCTATTCTATATCCAGTAACACTGATCCTATCCACATAATTTGTTTTTATAACTTACTTCAAAGATACAGGAAGACTCATAAAACTGACAAAATCACAGTGGGATTATGTGAAATACAGATTTTCCCCTACCCTCCTCCATGGCTTGGCTTCCTTCCCAGCTATTCTCTTTCACCACTAGATGGCACCTCCACCTGGATTGGAGAAGCACCCCATTTTAAAGTTAAACTGCTTGGGAACACATTTTGTCTTCCTTTGGGTGAATAGAATGTTCTATTTTGCACCATTCACTGCGGCTTCATTAAGTTGCTCATGTACCAGATTGTAAACTCTTGCAGATCAGGAACCATCTCTTTTACTTCTTTAATATAAAAGTCTCTGGCACAAGATTAAATACATAGCAGATGCTCAATAAATAAGAATTTACTAATTGGTTGCTCAGTATTTTAGGAAACAGAGAATGAATGGAGATGAAATCATTAATTACACCGATAACTGGGACATTCTTCTTCCTTAACTTTGTTACCCAACTTGACTCTTCCTGTCTAGAGCAGTCCGCCATATACACATGGATGTGACTGGCATATGTAAATTGTTATAGGGTTCACTTAAAAAATGTTGACTATGTTTTAGATAATTAAAATGGGACTTAGCATGGTCCTCTGACCCTTCATTAAAAGGAGAAGGGCAAGTACATGTTGAATCATCTGCATTACTCAATTTCAGGTGTTTCAAATATTTCAGGTTCAACTGATTTTGAAAACTTGAGCATTAGACATGATTATAGTCCTCTTTTCTTTTCTCTTTTCAAAATTTCTTCCCATTTTTCCTCTGTTCTCCCTTCTTTCTTTCTCATCGTGATCTTTTTTTGTTGCTGTTATTTGATTATATCTGTGATCTTGATACATCTAAGAAAAAGTACCAGATAGTCTGAAAGTAATTTTTTGGATTCTGGTTGCCTTATATTTTCATGAGATTCTGATTTTCCTACTTGGAAAATAATTCCCTTCATGAAAAATCATAGCCCTTCATGTGTGTCAGATGTCAATAAATCTAGTGAGTTCCATGATTAAAATGGAAAACCCACCATCCCCCCACATTGGCTATCATGTACAACTGTTGATTTTTGAAACATTGATTTTGGAAGGGTATTATGGAGAGAGAGAGAGAGAGAGAGAGAGAGAGAAAGTGTGTGTGTATGAGAGAGAGAAAGAGAGAAAGAAAGAGACAAAGGGAGAATGCATGAGAGAAATGAGACTATGAATATGCTGTTCCCCATCCCAGTACAAACAATGAAAACAAAATAAGCTACCAAAACTAAAAAATACCAGTCCTCATCAAAGCAGTAGAGAAATAACACTTAGGGATTAAGGACTTAACACAGTCACTTTATAGATAGTCTAAGCCACGTCTATGCCCTTGTTAACTAATCTGCTAATCAGTTAAACACAACTTCTGTGTAGCACAGCATTCTATGTCTTCAAATACCTCTGCATTCATCTCTCCGGCACCACTGAAATCAGAGTTGAGCTATGTAATTAGGTTTCGTGAAAGGCAAGATTTTGCTGAAAGTGCAATGTGTCCAGCAGAACTTACATGCAGTGTCAACCTCCACACTCTGAGTCACAAGCCTTAAGTCACAGATTTCTTCAAGCCAGCATGGCCTCTGCCTACCGGCCCTGAACCCAACTAACCAATGAGTGGGGGCTCGCTTCCCTTTTTGTGTCTCTTTCCTCTTCAGCCACCCTCAGGTCCCCAGGCCCTCATGGGGTCTTCCCCCTCCTCTCTTATCCAAAGGTTGATTGCTTTCAGGAAATGACCTGAGATGCATTCAAAACAAAATAATGAATAAAGACTAACTTCAAATGACCATTTCCAGAGTAGTTTCTTCCTTCACTTTAACAAGGATCCAAGTTTTAAGCTTTAAAAAAAAAAATCCCTCTTTTCTAATATCTTAGAATGACAAGTTATTTTCTAGGACAGTGGGGTTTCACCAGGGATTGCGGGGTGACACGGGCAACGCGCTGCGCTTCCAGGGGCTCCGTGCAGCGCTCACTGTGCACAGCACGGTAGCTGCTCCCACGCACCACCGACACACTGGGGGCCCCGCTCCCTCCAAGGCCAGAGGCACGGGGGCTCTGCGGCGGGATTTCCCTTGCCACCGCCTCGGAAGACTACACAGAGGGGCGCATGTGGCAAAACTGTCTTCTGCCAAGAATATTCATTTGAATAGGAGGACTGCATCTGATAAACAACCTTACACACACATGGATTTCTCTGGTGCCTGCCTTTGCAACAATCTTTCTCTCTAATCATCATCATCATTACAATAATAACAGTACGAGCAACTATAATTAATGCTGACTATGTCAGTTCCAGGGCAAAAGTCTTCAGACATGACATTTTTCTCCCTGTGAGGTTAGAGCACTTCTTTCTACTTATATAACCACCCACTACCTCTGGGAGCCTTGAGTCCTGGCACTAGGGTGGACAGGAACGACTCAAGGATACTGTCACAAAAATTCTTCAGTGGTCCTGGAGGGGTGGCCAGTTTTAAGAAGGGGCACCAGCCACCACCAGGTTAGTCTAGAATCAGGGGAAAGAAACTCAGTTTTGCCTGGAGAGTAGGGCCTCATCCATAAAGAGAGCGAGAGCAAGCACCCTGGGTGTCTGGTGGGTAAGAGAAAGGTGGGTGGGCCTGGGAAGGCCAAGCAGGAGCTGTCTTCTGCGGCCTGGTGGCTTCCTGCTGGCTAGGAAGGCAAGGCAGTGTCTTGCTGGTGGTCTCTCCTTCTCCCAGGCCCCCCCCCCCCCCTACATGCCCCCAGACATGATCTTGGCCCCTAGAGTTTAGTGGGGAAACTTGCTTTGGGGGAGGACAAGGACAGGGAAACAGAAGGAGTGACAAAGAGCTTCACATCGGTCATGGTGTTTGCACTTTTCAAAGTGCTTTCACAGTTTTGATCTCATTTCATAATGACCCTGTGAAACAGGCTGGGAAAGTAGGATCATTTCCATCTCCGACGAGGGGAAGCAGAGATCGCGGGGTTTACTCAGAAACCCTAGCAGTGAAGAGCAAACACAAAAACTGTGGCTCTGGAAGGAAATGGTGACTCTGGATACTGCAAAGGCTGAGGTCAGCCTGAGCGACCCCTTCCCCAAAGGGCATACCTGGGACACATTAATCAGTAAGCCCCAGCGGCGTTCACTTGCTGCAGGCTGACCAGGGCCCAGTCGCGTCTCTTCACTTTTCCTTTCTTCTTGATGGTGGCCATTGCTCGTGGCATCTATCCTGCCCTATCTCCCTTCTTCCATGTTCTGATCTCCCCACATTCCCAATGCCAGGGCACAGCAGGGAGGGCAGAGGTGGGGTTGCGGGGCAGCCGGGGGCTTCCGTGCAGCTTTAACACACCCTCCCAGGCCTCCCTCATCAACCCAAGCCCTAAGCGAAGAACTAGAGCTGATGTGGCCGGCATGTGCAGTCCTAGGCACTCTTCTGACAACTTTAAGAAAGAAACCAGTTAGGGTGAGACTAACTGGTACCACTGAACATTTCCTATTGGATATGAACCTAGGCCCTCTCACCCCAGAGTTGATGTGCTTCACCTAAGACAATTTCCAGTTGTGCCAGGCTTTGGGGATTAGAGTCTGGCTTAGGTCTCTTCATTGAAAAGCCTTCAAAACTAGGCTGGACAGTGGCCATAAGAGAGGTGACCAAGGAGGAGCAAAGGCTGAGCGAAGAGCTCAGTAATGGAAGAGAATACATGCAAACCATGTAGCCATGGGGCGGTCTCCCGGCCAGAACCTCAGCTCTCAGCTGGCACCTGAGTGCTGATGGAAATCTCTTGCAACTCATCTCCTGGGGAAGCAGAATGGCCTGGAGATTTCCTCAGGAGCCTGACACATACAGGGAGGAATGTGCCCATCACAATGATCAATGATGACAAGAGCCGCACACCAGAACACTGCCGCCATCAGACCCTGACGCGGCATCAATGGGGAACTACCAAACATGGTGGCAGGAGTCCCTCGGCGGCATGGACGGGGTGAAAGCGACACAGGCCCACAGGCTGGCACCCAGCGAAACAGCCTGTATGCGCCGGGTCCACACCTGTGTCACAGGCACAACTCTACACACACACATGCAGGGAAGACGCACTCCGCCCACGGCCCACACACCCCTGGGCCCTACCTGTCGTCGCAGTAGGTGAACTTCATGTCCATGCTGTGGCGGCTCAGGAAGGTCTTGCTGTCCAGGGGGATGTCCATGTGGGACGGGTGCTGGATGGGTTCACACATGATGATGAGGCAGGAGAGCAGGGGCTCCTTGTAGCCGCAGAGACCACCGTGAGGGGGGCAGCTGTTGTAGACCTTCACCTGGCCGGTGCAGTGCAAGACCTGGAGAGCAGCCGGGGGGTCAGATGTGGGGCCGAGAGCACAGCGTGGGGGGCACCGCTGGGGCTCCAACCCATGCCTGAGGCTGTCCTACCTTCCAGGTGGCTGACTTGAGGTTGACAGTTCGGCCTCTGTTGGTGACTGTGCATTTCATCCTCATGAAGAAGTCCCGCTCTGTGGACAGGTCTTTGCTTTTTTTCCCAAAACCAGAGACTGGATGGGGAAGGGTGGAGGGAACCAGTTGAATTTAGTTTTCCATTTATATACAGAAGAGAGACCCAGTCACAGTGCTGTCTGTGCAATGTATTGTTTGTATTTCCTGACTATCTGCTCTCTCAGCACCTGCGGCCTGCCGTGAACGCTGAGTGCCATCTCGGCCTGCGGGCAACAGCTTTCTCCCCTCCAGCTTGCCTCCCTGGCTGGAGCACAAGCACCTGAAGGGCAGGGGTGTTACAGCGTTTTATTTCCATTGTGCCTTCACAGCAGCAAGGCAATGTGTGACTAGCAGCCATAATCTCAGCACATCTCTGCTGGGCAGGTCCAGGCTCCCCAGGACAATTCCAAGGATAGTTCAGATGAGACCACAACTACTTCAAGGGGATAAGCTTCGCAGATTAGAAATGTCCCTCAGACACTCCTGTCTCCTTCTCATTCCTGTCCCACAGGAATTCGAACCTCCCTGTGCCCTATTTTCAACCAGTAATGGCTGTACTCAGGATAACGTACCATCAGCTTTCTCCAAAAAGTAACATATATCAAGCTCGAAGAGACCTCTGGTAGAAATCTCCTGGGATTTGGTGAGCAAGTCCACCCTGAGAATTAACTCAACATGGATATCCTTTCTCAGCCAGAATTAAATAAATCACCAAAACAAACAATATAGCTTCCTTCCTTAGAGTTTCCCAGTAGCCTGCCCGTTCAGAACTTTCTCCGCTTTCTGTAAAGCAAAGTGATAAATGCAGTAAGTGTCATCTGAGTCCCTTGTCCATGTTTAAATTCCACCTAACCCACCATCCCCATCATGGGTCTCCCAAAGTACACGCCTGCCCCCCTGCCCAGCACCAGAGAACAATCCAGAGCCTTGTTTCAAATACTCAAACTCCTCCCTCCAGGCAAGGCCGCCAGCCTCAGCACCCAAATCCCTAGAAAGCTGCAACTTATTGAACTGTCATGTCCCCAACGATCTGTGTGTCCAGTGAATTATGTCACCTTTGAATCTATCCTAAACATCCCTAGGAGAGCCAACTAAGTAATGTACCAAACAGTGGATCTTTTGGGTTGTTTTTTTTTTTCAAAGAAAGGACATTCCTCCATCGTGATCATAAAACCATGCCTTCTGTACTTAATGATGTTTCTTACAATTTAGATTTTCATAGGTGGGGTTGGCATATCACAAGATATTCTTGTGTCTTGGGGCCTGGACCACCCACCAGGACCCGTTGAAGTGTCCGAGATGAGTGTGGCTGTGGCTTAGCTTATGACTATTGTGGCCTCCTAACTTGTTAGCCTCTGGATTCTTGCCATTCAGCCATTTGATTAATCTTTCTAAACATAGCTCCAATTGGATTACTCCACCCCTGCTCAAAAACCTACACTAGCTCCCTTCTGTCTACAGGATAAAGTTCGAGGCTCTCCACCGGGCCTTCAAAGTTTTCCACAATCTGCCTCCTGGTCTTATCTCCCTCTAGGTGCTCACATTAACCCTTTGCTTTCAGGTCATGAGTCCACTCAGGCCGGCACCTTCAATAAGGATCTGCTTGCTGATTTATTGAGTTTGATCCCAAGTCCTCACTACATGGACCAAGAGACCTCAAGTTCTACTCAGATAAATAGACTAGGATCATGCTGTGAATCACAGCACTTGAAAGTTGGAAGGGCCTAGACTTTGCCTGGTCCAATACTGTCAACTTGAAAAGAAAAGACTCCAAGGAACCAAGCAATGAGGTAACTTGGTTCAGGCCACATGGTCAGACTGAGACTAAGGTCAGTGGTTGAACAGAGACTGAGAACCCAAGGGCAAAAGGGTTTCTAGAGCAGAAGATATAAGAAACTTTGGTTTTCTTAGGCTCCCAGCACCTGCTTTAGAAAGGGATTCAGAAAGTCTGGCAGCCCCCTCCCTAGAGAACCAGGCAGGGCTTTCCCAGCAGCACATGTGAGGCACTGCATAGACCATGGAGTGCACGCCAGACTGTGCACTCTAGGAGCCAAATGGTCCAGGGCCTTCAGGTGGAGAGCAGAGGGGCTGTAGGGGAGTCGGGGCTGGCTGGGGTGTGGGGGGCGTTGTCATTCTGCATTGTCTAGGTCCAGACCACAAGCTTAGTCTGTAACAAGTGTGGAAGCAGGCTGATGAAATGTCTGATGTGGCGGCATGTACGGTAGCAATAGCCAGACCTTGCAGGCTTAGTCCCACTGCCTCTGTTACTCAGGCCGGACAAGCGCACATCACAGCAGTGACCGGTGAGAGGCGTTAAAGGGGATGTTTAGACGTGGGCAGGGTCTGTCTGGGGCAGAGATCGATGTCAGGTTCAGAAGGGACTTTGAAAGACACTGAACCCCGCTTCTGCCCAAAGCCTCAGTCCTCTTGATAATATTTCCATTCATATCTCTGCTTGAATGTCCCCATTTATACGAGATGAAGCAGCAATGCCAACTGTCATTGCAAAGTACTTTCTGCTTGTAGGGGCCCTCCCATCACCAACATCTGATGGATGCCCCATGGGAAGGGTACAATACATCAGAGCTTTTAAATTTCTTCTCCATCAGAAATGACCCATCTTATGTCCCCACGTGGGACCAGATTTAGTCTTTGGCTCCAGAGTTAGCTATTCTCCAAATGTGGCCCTGATGAACCAGCCGCCTGACATTCACGCCTGTTTAGTTCCTCACGCAATGACACAGGGCTGCACTGTAGCTCGCTCTAACCAACAGAATGGGCCAGGTGAGGCTGTGCCGGCTTCAGGACTAAGCCTGGGGAAGGCCTGGCTTCCCCTTTTGTGCCTTCAGGAGACCTGAGCTGCCATGTAAGAAGTCTGGCTGCGTTGGAAACCCCAGGTAAAGAGAGAAACTAATGGAGTGAGACAGAAGTCCAGCTATCCCAGCATGGCAGCTGAGCCCCGCCTCCAGCCACGCCATCCCAGAGAAGTGGCTGAGCCACTCGGTCATCTCACCTAGTTAAGCCCCCGACAACAGAAGCTCAGCTGATAGAACACGGAGCAAAAGAACCACTCACGGAGCCCACACAATTGTGAGAGGTGACAAAATGGTTGCTTCAACCACTATATTTTGGGTGGTTTGTTACTTAACAATGGACAGCTGCAACAGTTCCCATGGACACAAGATGGTACAGATGAGTTCATGGCTTTGGGTGTCCTATTTGGCAGAGGTGCTGAACTCCAGGGGATGAAACCTCCTGGAGGCACTGTCCTAACCCAAAGGAGGGTGCTGCTAGCATGACACCAGGCACCATGTGGGGCCAGGAGATGTTTCTGAGTGTTAGGTCCCTTCAGTGTCCTCGAGCTCATCTCACAGACTCTGCCTTGATTTTTTGAGAGTCAGTTTTCTTTGGATCATGATATTCATGATCCATCACGCCTACATCCATACACAAAGGGAGCACAGATCCACCACCAGGGGCACAAGGAGGAAGGAGACACATAATAAAGAATACTTTACCATCCTTGAGACTCAGGTTCTCGCGGATCTCCTCATGGTCACAGGGATGAGTAAAGTCAAAAATACTGTGTCCTGTTAGCTCCACCTGTTTCAAAAACAAGGTTGGACTTCATTACTACTGACACTGAAGTAGAAGATTCCAAGGGGAAGCTGAGCCACCTCCTGGATTTGGAGATAGGGCAGAGACTGAATCAGTTCTTCTCACATTCCCAATTCAGTGTTCAGTCCACAGACATGTGGATGTAGCAGAGGACTGCCATCGATGTCAGGGACTTGATTCACAAGGGCTGGCCTGTTAATCTAGTCAGCAGAGCCGTCTGCCAGGATGGCCATCGACCTTGCCAAACCCAGCACCAGGCCATGGGACTGAGTCCTGAGGCTTGTGGTCTGAGATCAGCGAGAGGGCAGGGTGGCTATGTGTGAGGAGAGGTTAGGAGGGATGCGATCGGAACCTTTCACTAATCTCTACCCCCCAAAAGAAACATTTTCCCTTTCTGAAAGAGCCAGAGAAGGGTGTCACCTGTGTGAGTCCCATGAACTTGCTGATGTTTTCCGACAGAAAGATCATGTCTCCATCTTGAGTCACCACGGCAATGAAACCCTCCAAGGCTTTCAGGTACAGGTTGTCCATCTGCTGGTCGGTCTCAGCTTCAGACTCATTTTCAGAGCAAACTGGAAGGAGATGGGGATTGAATGGCTTGCGTGAATGTGGTGTTATCACAGGTGTGACTGGTACAGGCAGATGTCTGCCAGGGATGGCACAAAGGCATCGAGTGGACTTTTCTGGAAATGCATGCTGCCAACCATCTAAGTGACTGTCACATGACCAAACAGGGGGCACGGGATGGGCACACAGGCTCAGTGAATGCACCAGTTGCAGGTGCTGCTCTTTCTGCAGGGGTATAGAACTGGCTGGCCTTTGGAGTCAACAGTTGGGCTGTACAGAGGAGTATCTCGGTGGCTTTCCCTTTGTTTTTCTAAAATCATGGAACAAGACAGGGGGTAGTCTTTTCTATTCACACTCTGGTTCAAGAGGATAGCCTATGTGAGGGGACACCATTTGGGAATAGCCTTATACCGTGCACACACCCACATTTGATCCCTGTGTACCTGGTGCCTGTTAACTACCTTAGTCAGCTACACTGGTGACAATGAACTGAAGTCCAGGTGAGGGTTTTGCCTCTGACAATGTTAGCGCTCTCTGTTACCGTCTCCATTTAAACAGGGGCTTTAGGAGAGACAATGGCCGAACTCAGTGCTTTCTAATTGCAGCACGTACCAGGATCCCCTAGAAAGCTTGTTAACACGAAGGTTTCTGGGCCCAGGGCTGCCATATCATTTGGGAGGCTCAGTGGAAAGTAAACATGTGCGAACTCTTGTTGAAAACTTAAACCAAGCCCCGGACCCTTCTAAGCACGGAGCCCTGTGGGACTGTACAAGTCACACCCTCAAGCAGTAGGCCCCAGTGGGCCACATCCCCGGAGCTGCTGATCCAGCAGGTCTCCAGCAGGGGCTGTGAATCTGCTTTCCTAGGAAGTTTCCAGTGGCGTCGAAGCTGCGGGCCATAGGACCACAGACTGGGAACTACCACCTTAATTCAAGGTCCACCAACGGCCCGACGCTGGAAAAATCAGCGTATTTTGGCAGGTGGTGACCTGTCTGGGGATGGGTAAGGGGAGGCTGTCAGCACCTTTGAAATCACACCTGATAGATAGGGGACCACCTTCTTCCGCAGCAGAGGCCAGTCCTGTGATTTCTGACCTATGAAGAAGATTTTTTTTCCTCTTTAATTTCTTTGATCTCAGTGGCAACACTGACTTCAAAATCTGGAGTAATCCCAAGGCAGCCTTATTTGGGTTAACTAGGCCCAGAGGAAATAGTTCTGCTTAAAATTTCCTGTTTTTAACAGTTCCGACACAGCTAAAGTGGTTTCCATCCATGCCCAGTACACTTGCTTCCAGGAGGTGGCGAAATTGGCCACAGCAGCTGGCCAGCGGGCCTCTGGTGGGGGAGGGCGGCACTCAGGGGGCCACGAATGGAAACAGAACGTCTTGGAACTCAAGTCACAATGGCTGGAGGACCAGGAAGCCAGCAGGCGGGCCTCAGGGGACCCTGGGACAGCCAGGCCTCTTTCCTCTGTGGAACTATTTGCTCCCACAGCACCTGCTTACCCTCCCGGGGGCTTCTGAAGGAATCTGGCCAGCTCCTTGTCAGCTTGGAGCGGAGGGTGGAAACTCTGGGGTAGGGGCAGGCTGTCATACAAGAGGCCAGGGGTCGTGCACGTCCCTCCCCACTGAAGACTCCTCTGCCTTTGCTCTCTCCTGTGAGCTCCTTCCCTAATGTCTGCCCTGTGCTATGCCCAAAGCAGGAAATCAGGCATCTGTCACCAAGTGTCAGTCATTCTGTGCTCCGTCCGGTCCTAGGGAGTGCAAGGATGTGGCGAGGTGTAAGAACTCTTTTTCCCCGAGGACTGCACAGTGGCGGTGAAGACAAAGGTAAACTGCTGTAAGGTTGCACAGGGAGAGAAACCCTTGGTGCCTAGCAGAGAGCCCCACAGCGGGTGCTCAATACGCTGCCAGCGGGGCCTTTAAATTGCCTTGAGTTCTTGGTCTCAGTTACTTGCTTCCCAAGACCCTTCAGAGTCTGACCCCAAAGAAGAGGGGCAGGTCCCCCAAATCAGAGGCACTTTGCTGAGACAAATCTGCTCAGCCCTGCTCAGCCCAGGGAGCACAACAAGACTCTTTAATGCTAAAAATAGCCCCTGTAAACAGGCTTTGATGACTCCCCACAGCCAGGATATGCGCGGGCTGAGGTTTCGGAGCACTTTTTCCGGAGCACCACTCATTTCCTTAGGCAGCACCACCCGTGTGGGGCGGGACCCCGCGGGCAGCAGGAGTGGGCGTCTGGGGTGAGTGGGGTGAGCGGGGTGAGCGGGCAGGGCGGCAGGGCAGGCGCTCCTGAGCAGGGCCCTGAGACCAGGTGGTCGCAAGGCGCTGCTCCTGCTTCAGATGCATTCTTATTCCACTGGGGTCATTTTCCCTCTTTGTCTGCTACTATCTCTGAGACCATTCTGCTGCCATCTGCCTGGTGCACATGTGCTTGGCACAGTCACCACCAAGAGATCATTGCAGGGCTTTCCTTTTACACCGGCTCCTCTCCTCCAGCTCTCTCGCGGCCACAGACACCCCTCTCCCCGCGATTCCCAGGTGTACTGCCTGCAAGCTCAGTCTCAGTCGCCACAAGGAAGTTATTTTTGGATCCCTTACTGGATCATTAGCCACACCTGTAAGCTCCACCAATACCAGGTGGTAGGTGTGGGCTACCCTCACATCTTTGGCAGAAGGCACTGGTTTTACCTGATCTTTCTGGCCTCCCAAAGGGCCTTGAGAGTCTACCCTTAGAGGTTTATTCCTTTGTTCTTTACATAACTTACTATCCTATCGTACTGCTCTCTGTTAACCTTCCTAAGCCGTAACACAGGACTGGGGTTAGCAAATACCTACTGATTGACCAGATCCTTCTTTGGTTTAAATCTTCAGAAAATGATCTGAACAAGGTCAGTATCTCTAGAAGAGATTATACATTAGCTGCTCTTAGACATTAACATCCTAGCATGAATCAGCTTATCAGCTCCTCTGCAAACAGGACCAAGAAAAAGGCCTTGATCTGGAGAATGAATGGGGAAGGAGTGTGCAGTAAAAAAGCAGGGGGTGAAAACCTAGGAAAAGAAGTCTGAGAGTGATGCGCGAGGAAGCGCCGGAAGCCGAATCTGCCTCCACAACTTTCACCCTTGGCATCCACTTTTCCTGCATGAAAAGCTCATGGTCAAAGCTTTAAAATTATTTGTCCCACGTTTTAATGTCTTTCCCTTAGTCACCTAAAGATCAAAAATCCTAATCGCTTACTAAGACTGATGTCTTCACTAAGCAAATGCCAATGAACCAATAATCAACCTGACACTTCTCCTTCAGAAACACTGCTTCATGTTAACCTCTAGCTCTCGTATAAAATGAATTTCATTTTACCACGTAGGAGTGTGGAGAAGTCAAAAATCCATTTTATGGTGAGAAGGCAACTTTGCTTATTTACTGCTGTATAATGCCCTTGGAATGCAGAAGGGACCATCATTTGGTCACGGCTTGTGGAGCTCATCTTGAAAGAGGATTTAAGACAATCAAGTGGTATTTCCACCAATGTTCCCGTCAGAGTGTGTTCTGTTCTCGGCCCAGCGTGGAAGCTAATATCATAAAGCTATTGTTCCAGTTTGCTTCCTGTGATACAAATCTCAATCGGCAGCCCAGACTCCTAGCCTGAATTTCTTAGCGTTGAGGTTTCCTCTCCAACATTCCCACACAGAACAGCCTACTGTGAAAATCAAAGGGAAATGTGTTACTAAGTAAAGAAGAAACTTTTCTAAAGCAAAACTGGCCTTTTTTAGCCTTTTGAACTCTGAGGTATGCAACCAGCTATTTCCTATTATAAAATGAACCAACCTCAGCACTCACCTTTGTTAGAAATGTTTCAATAGTGAATCTGTTTTCACTGGAAAAAGCTTGGCAACTCTGCATTTTGACAGAAATTGCTGAAAGGCAGGTAAGAGGATAGTATTCTTATAGTATATTTATTACATATTGTTTACATATACTTATTATAAATCAGTTTCCTTGTTCAAAGTAGCTTTGATTTCTAAGCTATAACTTATGAAGAGCCTAATATGTGGCAGGCAAGAGGATAAGGATTTTTATATCCATCATCTCAATCCTCCAACAGCATCACTTAGTCCCCTTATTCCCTTTGTGCAGATGACGAAAGTCAAGCTCCAAGACAGTAAAGAGATTTCCCTGTGGCTGCAGAGAAAGAAGGCAGCTGGACAGAGGTTCCAACACAGCTCTTTCTGCCCACAAATCCTTACTCCTTTTCATTGAGTCACATGCATGGAAAAAGCAAAAATATGATTAGAAAAGAAAAAGATCCTGTCTCCTACACAATTTCTGGAAACAATTTCAACAACCAGCTGAGAGAATGTGTGGCAGGAGGCTGGAAGGGAGGGCAGAGAAAGGGGATGTTGACAGTCATCTGTCTTCTCCTCCCCGCCGGTGATGTCTGCTTTATGAGAACTGCTCCTTCAAGGACACCAGGACCAGATCGCTCTTCATCCTTTTCTGTCCTTTCTTACCTTGGGACAGAGAGGACCAGAGCTGACATGCCAAGGACTCTGGTAGGTCTGGGGCAGAGCCCAGCCAGAGAGCAGGCAGCATGTCTACAAGCTGCAACAGCTCCTGAGTGGAGATGCGGGATATGTTGCCGTGGCCACTCTGGCCCTATCTCCCTTGGCGTGTCTGGCACACAGGGGGCTCACGTCAGCACTTACACAAGCAGACGTGCTCAGATGCCCAGCTTCTGGTTCATAGTCCTCTCAGAATCAGCCTCTGAACCACCGAAAGGCTCATGTATGGAAGAACATGGAAAACAAGGTCGTTACCGAGAGAGAGGATAGAAACACCGAATGTCTGAGGGCTTCGTCCCTCCCCACTGCTCAGGGTCGGCCCGAGGCGCCTCCATTAAACTTTGGTTCCCTGCCTTTTCCCTCCTCTTCCTCACACACCCAGCCCTTGTCAGTATCTTCACCTGACCAGGTTTACAGACTGCTCCTGCCCTCCTGTGTCTGTCTTTTCCACGGGCCAAGCTTCAAAATGCCTTGAATTTCTGATGCAGTCTCACTGTGTGCTAAATGCGTGACTTTGAGCAATGCTAGCTTTTCTGCATTTCATGTTTTTTCATCTGTGAAAGGTTCTACAAGTTAGTTCAGTCAGAGGTGTATTCCAGGATTAGTGTATTAGCCCTTCTGGGCCTCTCTGTTGGTGGAGGATGCAGGTGGTGGGAGAAGGAAGCAATGATGAATCCAAAGGAATTAATGTCTAAAGGTAGAATTCCACATACCATTACCAGGAAGTCAAGATGCTATTTCTGGGTATTGAGAAGGGTCTTCATCTCGTCATTAAATCCTCTGCTGCCTACTCTGTGTGAATGCAAAGGTGACTCCAGCACCACCAGCCACTGCCCTCACCTGCCCAGGACAGTGAGACTCTTTAAAGAAAGAGGTACACGTGTTCCTTGAGGTGGCATCTCCAAGCCTTTCTTACACTTCAGTCCATTGCTCCCCGTTTCTGTAGCATGTGTGATGACGAATCTGCCCCTGCTTTGCACTGTTTCTTTGAAAGTATTTTACAGAGCATATCTGTGCCCTTGGTTCTCCCCTCCTGTATGCACTTTTCCAAGATCCCTTAGACTTGCAGCACAGGGCTGGCCCTCCAACCCTTGGACCCACTGAGCTGTCATCCTATTTTCTGAAAGTCTTTCCTCCATATCCTTCCTGTGCTCCAGGGCCCAGAATAGCTCATGTCGCTCTGGCCTCCCAGCCTCACACTGGATTCCCTTTGCTCAGGGTTTCCTTCCCAGAATAGCCGCTTCATAACAGGATGGCAGAATCCACCCAGCTCCAAGGCGCTCGGCTCACTCAGGAAAACTGAGAGCCAACCACCAAAGAACCTTGGCTCCCCTGCCTGCCTCCCTCACGCTCACTCCCTCGGGTCCTGCCCACTTGTAGCAAGCACCACAACAGGCAAGGAAGGACACAGCCCACTGCCCTGTTTCCTTATGAAATGGCAGACTAAAGGGGACAGTCATATAGGATCTAAAACCGGGAAACTCCTCAGGCCACCTCTTTCTTGTCAGGACTAGCAGGAAGTGGCTTTATGAAGAATGTAAACTGAGAAAAAAATGTTTTGTGAACTTCACATTTGCTGAGCGACCAGGGAGGATAAGAATGAGTTGGTTCCATGGGGAGGTTGTTATCCATCGAAGACTCCCCAGTGTGAACGAGTGTGTCTGGGTCTGATGCCTTACAGACATCTCCCCATTAATTCTCACCAACACCCTGTGCAACAAGTATTTTTAACCCCTTTTTACAGTTGAGGAAACCAAGAGCAAAGACACCCAATAATTTTCCTGGCATGCTGGCTAGGGGAAAAAGATCATATGGGCACACCGCTGCCCTTTTGGAGAAGGTAGTTGGAAGATAAGCACTGAAAAACACTTCCTAAGGGTTGAATCTAAAGTGGAGTGTGGGTCACATGGCCACGTGGAAAGGCAGCTCAGAGACCAGCACAAGCTGCTTTGTTGTCTCAGCCTCCTGTCTCCTCCTTAGTTTCCAGATGCCCATGGCTTTCCTTGGTCCCACCCTCGCCCTTCATCTGATGACTGTATTCATTGTAAAGGTCAATACTGGAAAGGAGATGTGTAATGTGAAGGAATAAAGCATGAATAATGGCATTTCCATGGGTGAAAGTTTTGCAGAGTGGGAATTCCTGGGTGGGGAGACCTTCCCAGTGGCCTTGCAACTCTGGCCCAATGGAGCCTGCTGGAGGAGTCTACCTGTCTCACCTGAGGACAGGAGCTTGTGTGTCCGCAGGAAGCTGATGGCCAGCCGCATGATGGAGGCCTTGTCCAGGTGGGAGCTCACGCTGTGGGGCAGCGGCAGCTCGTGGGCCAGCTCATAGAAGACCTCCGTCTCCTTGCTTCTCCGGCACCTTGCTGCATCCCGGGACTTCTCCTTCCTCCTCTCCGAGCTACTCCTAGATTGAGAGAGAAGGGGTTAGTCCTTAAAACATCACTGTCATTCTATCACACCCTTGATCAAAACATCCTGCGGGCCCCCCACCCAGGCATGTTGTGAACCAATACGGGCTCACGCCAGCCGTCTGAGCCACGCAACCTGCTTTCTCTTGACAGCCCTGCTGTCATGTGTGTCTGTATCTTCTTGAGCAAAGACCTGCCCATTAAATTCATCCATTGGCAAGACCTTGAGCCTAGTCCTGGGATATCTTAGGACTGAGGTTGAATGTGCAGTAATGGGGATGAGAAAGCTGTGGCCAGTGACCCAGGTGGCTGTGTCAAAAACCCTGGAAAACAAGGTGAGAAACTGCTTCCAACTTCCCCTTCTAGATAAAATGCACTTAGAAAAAAATTAAGCCCAGTACTGAACTGTAGGTCCCATTTTGTATTAGAGAGTTATTTCCATGCTCAAAATTGAAAATGCTGTTGGAGCCCAAGAAGAACAGGCAGCCAGACATCTGCCAGTCTGGTGTCCCCAAGTGTCCACTTGCTAGGGGTTACGAAGGAGTGAGCACGTGTTTTCCTCCTAATGCTTTCAGCATAGATTGCTAGCCTGTCTCATGCTCATTTTCTTCTTTGCAGGACAGAAAAAAAGATGACACACACCCACACCTGCCCCTTTCAGGATGTCCTAACAAAATCCTGGATCTTCTTATAAAGCCCTTATAACATTCTAACATGGGCAAGTCAAAAGCCAGACTCTCTGTATCGAAATTCTAACTTCTCCGCTTGCCAGCTCTATAAACTCAAATTATTTAAATGGCTTAGCTTCAGTTTTCTCATCTGAAAAATGGCCATAATAGTACTATACTCCACAGAGTTATTGTGAGGATTAAGTAGGACAATTTATGTAAAATCTTTAGCACCAGGCCTACCCCAGCTGGAAGCAATCAATGTTAGCTAACAAAAATAACAAGTCTGTCCATGAAAAGATGAACATGAGAGTAAAAACACTATAAAAGTACACAGTACAACCTGGTTTTCATAGAAATATATTATATATAATAGTTCTTATACATTATATTAGAAAAAGTCTAGAAATATAATAAAATAGTAACTCTTATTCCTACGGCTATCCCATATATAGTTCTTACTACATTATACTGTTTTAAGTAAGGTACTGTTTTAAGCACTACAACTTTAGCTTCTTTAATTCTTACAACTACCCCTGGAAGTATTTATTGTTATTATCCCTAATTTACAGATGAGGAAATGGGTTCATAGAGGCTAATTTCCCTGCGGCTGCTTGGCAGGTAAATGAGGAAGTGGAGCTTTGCACCAGGCAGGTGGATCCCAGAATCCAGGGTCTTAATCATGGATGATTGTCTTGTCTCTCTCTACACAAAAATGTTAGCAGTTTTGGGTTGGAGAGTTTATGGGGAAATTTTTCTACTTCGTGCTTATCTGTATTTTCTTATATTTTGAAAAATAACCTGTATTGCATGGTTAGTAGACAAGCTTGCTTTTTTAAAAAAGTGTCCAATGCAGTTCATGGCTCTCAAGGCCTCATCCAACTGGCTCCAGCTCACTCTCTCTGTCCTCCCTTCTGAGATTTCCAAACCAGGGGCTGCTGCTCCTGTTGTTTGGCTTTGCATCCTGTTATCTGGACAGATAATCAGTATTTTGCGATTCATGGAATGTTGACATGCCTTTCAAACCCTTCAAGATCTGGGGCCAAGGCACTGTTCTGACTTTACAGCATGTTTCATTTTAAAAAACAGAACATCCAGCTCCTTGGATGGATTAAACATCATTTACTCAGACTGAGAACGAACATCCCATAGCTCTTGATGGTCAAGAAAAATCTTCAGACAAACTGAAATGTGTTAAACTTTTCTCCTGTCCCAGCTCTCTTTTATGTTTCCTTTACCTAATCCCTGTTCCCTCCTCTCCCCGACTCCCACTTCCCAGAACTCTCTCCCAGGCACCCCACCCATCCCCACCCTCTCAGATCTGCCCTCAGGATCAAGTTGCTTTTGCACCAGACCTTTAGTGACAGTTTATATATTACTTTCTCCCATTTGCATTTTAATCCTGATCCCTGCCTGTGGAGTAAAAGCAGTTGTCCAAGGTTTGCAGGCCTCCTGACACAGGAAATCAGGGTGGGAAGGGGACACTAAAACTGTACACATCACGCCTATGGGTGATGAAAGCCAGTGTCTTGGAGGTGCTGGATTCCATTCTCCAGCACCAATCCTTGCACACCCAACAAAAGCAACATCAGCATATGAGCAGACATCAGGAGCATCCAGAGAAGCCGTCCTGGGGTGGAAAAGATCCCCTGAATAGTCTGTGACATTTATGTCAACATCTGCAAGCACAGAGCTCCCCTTTGCGATTGTCCCTTCCTCTGCGTGGAAGAGCAGGCAAAGCAGAGAGAACCAGGAAGGGGAAAGGCAGTCCCGAGTCGCTGCTCTGTCTGGCAATGGCACTTGCCATTTGCGTCCTCCTGTGTTCTCTGGGCCATGTGTTTGTTGACACCCACTTTTGTGCCTGGCACTACACCAAGTACCTTACATATATTACCTCATTATAGTCCTCATAACTACACAATTGGTAGGTACTGGGAGCACAATTTACACATGTGGAAACTGTGGCTCGGATATAATATATAACTTGCCCATGATTACAAAGATAATGTCTGCATAGGCCCTTGGAAATTCTTAATGAGCATGCACTTAGAAGTCCTGAGAAACATGGGTGCCCCCTGTCTAATGCCACCCTCCCAGCCTGCTTGTGAGGTGGGCAAGACAGGCATTGCTGCTGTCCCACTTCACAGACCTGGAAACCAAGGCCTAGTCCAGTTCTGTGACTAATGAAGAGCCACAGAGCTAATAAGTGGCAGAGCTAGAGCCAGAACTCATTTCTTCCTAGACCAACATGTTTTCCCACTGCTTAATGGTAGGAGACAGTGGCTTTAACAAGAAATTTAAAAAAAACCCCAGCAACATCTTAACATTTAGAAAAAGAAAGCTGAGAATATCATTCAGTCTCTTGGTTTAAAAGTCATGAGCTCCATTTTAGCTACCTTGTTTTCCCAGTTGCACTAACATGACTTTAATTAAATTATCTAGTTAAACTTGACACAGCCCAGAGATATCTGTCTAATGTTGACTCTTGGAAGAACAGACAAAAATGTATAAAACTACCATGATTTAGTTAGCAACATTAAAGAACAACCATAATTGATGCTGAGTGTGAAGGTAAGATACCCCATACCCCAAGCCCAACCAGTGCATATACAATCTACTTCCTCACACAATTTATCGTGAGTCTCTTAGCAAATAGAACAGGGGACTGGAAGTTAGGAGGACCGATGTTTTAATATATTGGCCACAGGTCTACCTAGCTGTCTGATTTTGGACAAGAGAATGCATTCTCTGTGCCCTGATAGCCTCATCTCAAAAATGGGAGAGATCCCATGACTTATTTGTCAGGATCAAATGAGATGTGTGTAGAACGGTTGGAAGTACAGGTGTAACGCCATTTATTGTGCTTCACAGGTGTTGCATTTTTATTTTACAAATGGAAAGCAAGACCCTCCACAAGCAAAGAACTTGCAATTCACTTTATTGCAATGCTCACTCTGCGGCGGTGTTCTGGAACTGAACCCACAATATCTCTGAGGTATGCCTGTATTAGAAAGCTCTCCACAAATGAAAATCATCTTGACCGATGATAATAATTCCATTATCTGGCTAACATGAGTATTAGTCACATTCAGACTTTGGCCATAACAGCTGTCCTTCATAAACCAAATCAATGCTGTCTCAGGGCTGGGGATGTATTTGCAGTCAGGCTGCTCTTGACAAACTCTTTTGTTTCATGTTACTGAATCTTCTTTGGTCAATGAGGCTTTGTTTATTTTCTCCCCCTAGATGGGTTCTAGAATTAAGGGCAATAGACCAGAATTTTAAAAAAAAATGACAATTCTAGTCAAGGCATCTTAGAATTCTCTGGTTTCTTTTAAAAAGGTATCTTATCCTAATCATCAGAAAGGACTCAGGAATTTCTCACTCCAAATTGCTCTTTTGATGAAGTTTCTGCTCCTCTCTTTCTTGGTGGCCCTCCTGTGACCCATGGGTGGCCCTACACAATATTTTGTACATGGAACACACAACATAAACCTGGGCCTGGGGTAGCTGGGCCCTCATGCAGATGCAGACGTGTTTACTGCGCTCTGTGATAGACCTTGTGGAACTGCAGAGTGCGTAAGATGTACATTCTTTGTTTTTAAGGAGAACACAGTCTAGTTAGGGAGCCAACAACTTGAAACATTTCTATTAACTACAGAAATAAGCACAAACAATAAACACTATAGGTGGTTAAGATAAGAAACAAGCTGGTGTGAGTAAACAAGGTCTAAGAAGGGTACTCTGGGAGGTAGGATTTCCGCTGATCCTAGAAGGACAAATAACAATACCTTTACGGTATTTGCAGGGTTCAGAAAACACTTTTTTTTCTACATGTGTTACCTCACGTGAGTCTCACAACAACCCTGAGAGATAGGAGCTATTATCCCCATTTAATAGATGAAGAAGTAGAGATTTAGAGGGATTGAGTAACTTGCTGAAAGACAGTGTCTCAAACCTAATTCTTCTGGGTCCAGGATCAAAGGTTTCTCCACTGGCAGCAAGGAAGCTGTTACTTACTGTATAACTTCCAAATGTACAATGCTATGTTAGATATTTTCCCACAAATTGGATGCTCATGTACAGAACAGGAGGGAGAAGAGGGTTAAGATCTATACAGGAGCCCTGGCCTGGTGGCTCAACTGGTTGGAGCATTGTCCTATACACTGAAAAGTTGTGGGTTTGATCCCCGGTCAGGGCATAGACCTAGGTTGTGGGTTCAATGCTGGGCCTAGTCAGGGTGCATATGGGAGGCAACCGATCAATGTTTCTCTTTCACACTGATGTTTCTTTTTTTTTTCCTCTCTCTCTCCCCCTCTCCCTCTTTC